AAAATATTTAAGTAAATGCCCTGTTCATAATAAACAGTATTAAACAACATTTACCGGCCTGAATGCCCGAGAAATTTTCATAGAAAATATTCGTCCTCCAAAGATTCAGTATAGGATACAGGTTCGAGTTGTGTTGGAGGATGAATATTTTCTGTGAAAATTTCTTGGACATTCAGGCCGGTAAATCTTATTGATACTGTTTATTATAAAACATATAACAAAGAATGTATAAACATAAAATGTCTATATATATATATATATATATATATATATATATTGCGATGGATAAATTTTCCTATATGGTGCGATGGATAAATTTTCGTCTAAATTACGCAAAATATGAAGCTTGAAACTTGAAATGGCACTAACATCTCATTTTAACAGATAAATTTACCAAAATGACACAAAAATATTTTCAAATATTAAAGAGTAAATTTATATAATAAAATTGCCATTGACTTCAACGACAACCTGAAGATGATTTCGGAACCTTCCGCGGCTCTTCAAGACAGTCTCCTTTTTTATGTTCGGGAATTCTGCCGAAATCTTTGATTTCAGTTCATCTTTGTTTTTACAAGGAGTTTTGTTGATCTCTCGCTCAACTGCGCCCCACACATAATAATCAAGAGGGTGTCAGTCTGGGAAATTAGATAGCTTGATGTTAGGGGTAATGTGGTCGCAGAAATTGTCTGACCGACATGACTGAGTTCCCCCTGCAACTCCTCAAGCCTCTTGATGTAGGCCTCCGTGTTGAGTCTGAGGTCCTGTAGGAAGGTGAACAGAGGTGTAACGTCGTCATCACTCGTGATCACATCAAACACCATGATGTTGACTGTATATTTCATCATTCTTAGTACATCTTTTGGGAACAGTATCCTTTGTACTGTCCTCAGATTGACACCAAAATACTGAAATGTTTGTATTGGAGCTTCCGGTGGGAATGCCAATCACTACAGCATGCTGTTTCTAAATATCTGACGTTGTGAACTGCGTTATGGTATTTTTTTCTCACAGACGGTGCTTAACCGACCTTATTATATTGTGGAACCGACAAAAAAACACAAAAAAACAAAAACAAACAAAAAACAAAAATAAAACACCCCCAGCAAAAAAATAACCAAACACCTATGTGCGAAATTAAAAAAAAATCATAATAAAATGACGACAATTTACTCATCGCACCCTGTATGTATACATGTGTGTGAGTGAATAGTGTCAATATAGAAATCAATACCCTACGGCCATATAACGTAAAACACTAGTTCTCGTAATATCAAAGAAGCTACGTAACGTAGAGTCTGGTCAGTACCTATATGGGTAAACGCTTCTGAATACCTGGTGTTATAAACTTGGATGTGGGGGTGGTGTAAATGATAATTCCAGTCGGATTCGTTATTCCCTTTTGTGCATGCAAAGACCCTTGGCATAGGTATGAATCCACCGATTCTCAACTCCCAGCTGTGTTAATTTGTAGGACTTGTATTAGAAAATCATTATTATCTCCACAAATTCTTACAATCTCAAATATTTTCTGCCTTTACATAACGTGCGAAATGTTGATAAGCAATTAAAATACTAATCAATCAATCAGTCTAGGAACCAACGCCCTTTGTTATGGCAGTTTCACGTCATAAGTAATCAATTGGTCATATGCTCCTTTTCTATGCCGGCTATGAATATATAAATTATAGAAATTATGGGTAATGGGGACTGCTTCTTACGATTTTTATTCCTGGTTAAAGTTTCAGATTATTCATCGCCTGGTTTTTGATCTCTAAGCCACGAAGAACCTACCGGCCAATGGCAAAGCCCGAACTGTGTTTTTGAACACAGAACTTTTCCGATTCTCTAAGTATACATCGCTGCTTACTTACGTATCTTAACGTAAACAAAGACAACTTTTAGGAATGGATTTTTCATTTATTAATCCTACATATTTTAATTTATTGCTTAAACGTTATTTTTAATATATATCCCTATTTGAATAAATGCTCTGTTTTTATTTATTAAACAGTATATTTATTTATTTCGATCTGCCGTCCTGAATATTTGAGAAATCTTACTAGAAAAATATACACTCTTCCGCATCAGCCTTCTCGAATATTCAGGCCGGTATATAATGGATATAATTAAATATATTGTTTAATAATTCTCCATGTATTGTCCACGCAGTCCACCATCCATGCTGTTCTGACAGAATCTACAAATATTTCGCTTAAACATCTATGTATTTGCTACGATTTTCACATGCTTGGAGAGATTATTACTATAAAATCATGTTTGGATAGATTATTACTATAAAATAATGCTTGGAGAGATTATTACTATAAAATCATGTTTGGAGAGATTATTACTATAAAATAATGCTTGGAGAGATTATTACTATAAAATCATGTTTGGAGTGATTATTACTATAAAATAATGCTTGGAGAGATTATTACTAAAAATCATGTTTGGAGAGATTATTACTATAAAATAATGCTTGGAGAGATTATTACTATAAAATCATGTTTGGAGAGATTATTACTATAAAATAATGCTTGGAGAGATTATTACTATAAAATCATGTTTGGAGAGATTATTACTATAAAATAATGCTTGGAGAGATTATTACTATAAAATCATGTTTGGAGAGATTATTACTATAAAATAATGCTTGAAGTGATTATTACTATAAAATCATGTTTGGATAGATTATTACTATAAAATAATGCTGGGAGATATTATTACTATAAAATCATGTTTGGAGAGATTATTACTATAAAATAAAGTTTGGAGAGATTATTACCATAAAAAATGTTTGGGTAGGTTATTACTATAAAATAATATTTTTTCTGTGAAATTTATTTGATTTAATTAATTTTTATTCCATTTTATTTTTTTCATAATTTCTTTGGTTCCAAAGTTTCGTATTTGAAATAGATTTTAGTAGCTTCTAAATTAAGGGTTATTGTTTATTCCTTGGAGCCGTGATGTGGTTGTAGATAGCTTCCTTTGTAATTTCTTTTTCTTGCCTACATTTGGAAATGTTGCCTGATCGTTCGTTTAAAAGTTAATATACTTTATCAAATGTACTTATTATTAATTTCTCATCCAGACAAAAGTCGTTTTTTAATCATTACAATCGAAGTAAGGCAATAAAGCCACCAAGACCTAAGGGGTTACTAGACCGTTAGAAAATATGGAGAAATATTATAAAGGAGAGAGAACAATAAAGAGTATGAAAGTAACGGTTATATCTAAGCATTTAATCTCTAAAATGATAAGACTTTGCCACCAATCTAGTCTTGCGTTTAAACTCATAAAGTCAAGGTATCATTGAGGAAAGTTCGCCAGAACGATTACCATGAAAGTATTTATAGAAACAGTACAGGGAAGCTACGTTATTTTGGTAGGAAAGTAAGTGAAGGTGTGAACTACGTCAGAACCACTTTATCAAAAATCTCTGAATATATAGCAAAACACCAGAGCAGATTAGCAGCAATATTCAAAGCATGAACGAATGATAGAATCCTTACTCATTTTGGGGTATTGTAAGCTGTCCACACCGTTTATATATACGAATACACTCTCTTTAACTTGGACACGCTTCCTTGATATATAAAGCAAGTTTTAAACGTATTTTAGCACTATACGCATGTAATTACGCAGAAACGTTTCTGATGTGATGTAACAATACAATTTCTCACAAATCTTTGTAAGATAATTAGATAAATTTCTTTTCTTTTAAGTCTACTAATTTTATCTAAGTTTCGTAGGAATTTTGTCTCCAGTTAATCTGTGAGTAAACATAAGTGTCGGTGTTTTGGGGATTTATGTCTACAGCTGCATTGGAATTGGGGAAAATAAAATGACGTTAATAATTTCAGATAATTACAAATGTAGAATCTTTTGAAGATGTTGATCACCCAAAAAGCCGAAGGGGTGTTCTCAAACCTTCCTGATGGATAAGTGGGGTGGGACTCAAGCCATTATAAACAGAGAGAGGCACGAAGTCATGGAGAAAGGAGTCGAGCATGTAAGTAGCTAAGTGACCTACGGCCAGTGAGGAATTGGCCGGCAGTCAGAGAGGTGGAAGGAACCAGCGAGCAGGGGAGGCAGATAGTAGTTCAACCGAAGGAAAACAGGTGGGTAAGAAATGAGAATTCGTATTGTTGCTGTTTCCCAGTCAGAGAGACTTGAAAAATCAATTGTCGTATTTTTTTAATACGATCACGGCCAAGTGGAAAAATCTAGAGAGGAGATAGCGAAGATACATATGGATGTCACCACAGGTGCAATGAACGACGGACAAGCGGGGAAGATCGTCACAAATCTTGTCACAAACTTGGTCGCAGCGATGCTACTGGTGTACACCCCAAGAAATTGTATGTGATAATCAAACAGTTTCATAGACATTAATATTTGCTAAGCTTACTTTACAAAGAATGGATGATCGTTTTACGCTAATCTTCCACGTGGAGAGGGTAGCTGTCGAAACTCACCAATCAAAATCCTAGACATAGTTTTTAAGTGTTTTCAAAGCGTTAAACCCGACGAGTAAACTGAATTGACAGAGATACAGAATTCATGTTGAATCTTCGCATCCGAACATTGGGATCTTCATCCGCTCGACCTATTCTTTTCCTCCATGCACTCGGTGGCGCTGGCATAGATGGCTACTCCTGAAAAGTTGTAAGCAGAAGTCACAAAAGAGTGTGGGTGTTGGACACCTTTGGGCGACTCGGGTCCTCCTTACAACACGTAACATATCCTCTTTATATCGATGATGGGAGATGAAAGCCTTATTCCACCAAACACCCCCACCCCGCTCGGGTGGTCATACGCCAGCGAGGCTGATTCGTGGAAACGGTTTCCGAGGTCTCAGAATCGATTTTGGCTTGTGAGAAGGTTATCTTCAACTTTTCGTTTTCCGCTTCCGCGTAGCCTCTTGTCGCTGACGAGCCCTCCAAACAGAATGATACGAGGGAGTAGAGTGGGATGCAATCTGGACACGTGGCTCACCAAGCGGAGGTGATGTTGAAGGAAGGTAGCCTTGATTTTGGCAAGAGACGTCCAAGTGAAAACCTCGTTGTTGGCAATGTTGAAAGAAGGTAGCCTTGATGTTGGGAAGATACGTCCAAAAGAACACCTCGTTGTTGGCGATGTTGAAGTAAAATGGTTAGGAAGAGACTTTCAAGAGAATACCTAGTTGTTTGTGATGTTGAAGGAAGGTCGTCCCGATGTTGGGAAGAAACGTCCAAGAGAAGACCTCGTTGTTGGCGATGTTGATTGAAGGTAGCTCTGATGTTGGGAAGAGATGTCCAAGAGAAGACCTCGGTGTTGGCGATGTCGAATGAAGGTAGCCCCGACGATGGGAATAGACGGCCAAGAGAATACCTCGTTGATTGTGATGTTAAAGGAAGGTAGCCTTGATGTTGGCAAGAGAAGTTCAAAAGAATACCTCGTTGTTGAAGGAAGGTGGTCTTGATGTTGGGAAGAGACCTCCAAGAGAGGATCTCGTTGTTGCCGATGAGTTCCTTCCAAGTGATGTGAGGGATTCTTCGGAAACTATAGAATGTCGTAAATGGATAAAAAAAATGAAAGCATACATAAATAAAGATTGATCGTAGAAACTATCCTATTGTGGTCGGATTCATAGGCCAGTTGTTTGCCAGAAGAAGTTCTTCGAGTGAAACTTAATTCTCAACCATCTAATACAGGGATAATGAGGGTGATTTGCTGCAATGTAAGTGGATTGGCGGGCCTTAACTGTAAAGGCTAGGACTGGCGGAATCAAGTAATATCGTTCGTCCGAGCACTTTCCCTGGAAGTAGGTATAATAGCAGTGAGAGGATTGCCATATACGGCCTGTGTGAGATATAGATAGATAGAGAGAGAGAGAGAGAGAGAGAGAGAGAGGTGGAAGGATGGAAAATAATTTGTCATTGACAAGAACTCGGAGACACTTCTCGATTCTTTCTTGGCTGGAATGTGGGGACAGAGCAGCTCCCGCGATGATGTAACAACAGGATTCCATTAAGTGGATAAAACAAGAACCATCTTTGTGCTGCCAGGAGTTTTAATACTGATTTTCAGAAAATACATTTTATCACTGAAGATAATAATATCAAATATATATATATATATATATATATATATATATATATATATATATATATATATATATATATATATATATATATATATATATATATATATATATATATATATATATTAATAAATATACATACCACTACGTTTGAAGTGCAACTTAAAGGTTTCCCAACTTACACAGGTCGCATCGGTCACTCCGGTCGGAAAAGTGTGCACAATCCTTCGATATCTTTCGCTTGTAGACGATCAGGTTCCTGGGGATGATCGACTTAATAAATATCTCATAATAAAATATAAAACTAAACATACACTTCAGCATGGCCACACATATACACATGTCTGCCATCTTTTATCTATAAAGTTAATTGTGTTAGACATGCTGTTTGATAAAGATGTTATCCTTTGACAGCCGAGCAATAATTGGTTGACCATTTGCTCATGGACGAAGGAGAAAACTAATCAATCATTGATGTTAGTCGCGTTATCAACGGCTCAATATGGACGGCACTCGTACCTAGACAATAAATCCTCTTTGCAACGTGAGCTTGGGGAACGTTAAGAAAGAAATACGAGCAAATAAGAAAGATATATCTCTGAGGGATTGGTGTGGGCAATTTAAATGAATCATAAATGAAACGTTGTATGATTTTGTTTAGATATTTACTCATATACACGTAGAGAGATAATAAAATATTAAGAAAAAACGTAACACTACACCAATCCAACAGATATATTATATGTTTTCTTGTGTAACTTGCATTATTATTTTTTTATGTAGTGACGCGATCGATTGTCCATTTACAATGTTTCTTTCATTAATATATATATATATATATATATATATATATATATATATATATATATATATATATATATATATATATATATATTAGTAACTGTGTTCCTGATCAAACCGGACTCATAAATAAGTCACACATTACACAACCACATGCTTATCCAGATGTCTTACAATACACCTATCTGATCACAGCTCCATTAGAACCTATTTAAACACACACACAAATTTACCAGACTCCATTAGAAACATACTAGTAGAAAACACAAATATATTAACTGCATCCACCTGCTAAAAAAGACTAAAAATAATGGAAGCTTTAATAATAAAAAAGAAAAAGCCAACTCTTAACAATATTAACTACGAACAAAGCCACAATGTGCTAAACGTATTCGGAAATTAAAAAACATTCCTACCACACACTAATACATACACAGAACGCACACACTCAATTAAGCTGAAAAACTGAATCATCCTTGATAAATGGCTAAAGGTATAGACGAAAGCGCTCGGAAATATAAAATATTTGGACAGTTCTTACACACCCTTTGTCCAGAAAAGAAAGCTCTTGTTAGAACACAAGAAAAATTAAGTAAAAAGCTTAGCCGTAGTACCTTGTCTGTCGTTTTAATGAAACATGAATATATATATATATATATATATATATATATATATATATATATATATATATATATATATCATAAATGAAAACTGCACCATGTCAAAAAACGACAGTCAGTTATTGAAACATTCTGAAGAGTGAATAAAACAATTGCAAACTAGTTAAGTAGTTCATCTACGAATCTGCAGAGTCATCGAAGTGCTGAATATAACATCACTCAGCTAAGTGAAAAAAAAATATTTGCATTAATATTAATACATTATAGTACATGTTAAAAATATTATATATATATATATATATATATATATATATATATATATATATATATATATGCACATTTCATTGAAAACGACAGACAAGGTGCTTTTATTTAGTTTTTTTATACAATTTCTCTTGCGATCTAATAATTCTTTTCTTTTCGGATAATAAATTATATAAAAACTGTCAGAATGTTGTTTTTATCCGAGCGCTTTCGGCTGTACATTTAGCCATTTTCAAGGATTAAATATTTTAACTGTTAAAATAAGAAATAGTTTGCTGTATGTATGTTTTATAAAAATTTTTATTTTTCAAAGCACGTTTAAGATATTATGTCCATGTTGATATTATTAAGTGTTGTTTTAATAAGGCTTCCATAATTTTAGTCTTTTTTGCTTACAGATGATGCTATTAGTATATATATATATATATATATATATATATATATATATATATATATATTAATATTATATATTAATATTGATTAGTGTATATATATATATAAATATATATATATATGTGAAAAGTGTATATAAATATAAATAAATATATATATATGTATAATTATTTATATATTATGCGGTACTTATTAGAAAGCGCTCAATATCAGTGATAGAGCTAACATATTTGGTTGGATAGATGTGAGTTTGTGACCCTGGGTTTCACGCTTTAGCCATCGTCAGACGATACGATCGTTAAAGCGTGAAACCCAGTGTCACAAAAATCACATCTATCCAACCAAATATATATATATATATATATATATATATATATATATATATATATATATATATATACGTACATACAACTACGTTCAAATGCGACTTAAAGTTTTTCCAACAAACACAGGTTGCATCAGTCGCAGCGGCCGGAAAAGTGTGTATTTTTGGCAACGAAGTTTCAATTTATACCGGCCCATAAATATCTGTTTAATATCCCAATAAAACTTTGAGAATGTCGTGGCATTTGCATATTTTTATTTTTAAGGCCCTTTTATGGTGATAAAATCTTGTTTTCCAGTTGTTGGCCGGAGAGCCGAAGTAAAATTTTGTCTTGCCATTATGTTTAATGCTAGCCGTGTAGATGACGCCTTTATACGTATATTTATAGTTCTTTAGACAATTAATGCCTTTTCGACAATTCCACTATTTTCTGTGTTAATATTGATATTGGAGTGGCTTAAGTATTTATTTAAATTTACGTCATTATACTGTGTTATATGTTGCTCAATGTTTCTAGTGCAGCTGTAGCCAATCATAATATTGATCTTATTGAAGATTTTGTTGAGGGTTATGGATGAAATGTTTGTGGATTACATTTAGGAAAAATTCTACAGCTGTTGTTTTTGATATTACTGTTAAAAGGTGGATTGAAACAAATTATGTTGCGATTGTTATTTTTACGTTTATTATTGGCTTTCTTACTAATATTTGGAATGTATTCTAGTTTAACTTTGTGTTTACTTTTATTTACTGCATTTACATATTTAGTTTTATATTTGTCAAAAATAATTTTGTTGTTGAAGTTGGTAGAGAATCTGTGTTGTACAGATTAGTGAAAGTTATTTAAAATTCCAGGTGGGTGGCTGGATTCTTTGCTTATGTATTTATAGTTATAAAGCTATTTAGTATAAGGCATGTATATTCTTTTGAATAGGTCGAAAGTAGTGTCCAGAAAGTTGATCACTTTAGCGTTTTGATATTAAGTCCGTAATCCTTGAAGAGTTTTTTCCTAAACCGGTCTGTTTGTTGTGAATTTGTATTACATAGGAGGATAACTTCGTCGTCTCTGTACAGACCAGTGTTGGCACTATTGAAAGTGTACCTATGTCATCCCAGTAGCAGAATGCCAACTAGTTCACCCGCTTCTGCGGAGTCGAACGCTCTCATACAATAGCCCCTACCAACTCTGAATATTCTATATTTACACACCAATATTCTAATAAATTTATATTAAATTTGAGCTTTGAATCTGCGTTTAATTTAGCGTCCCTCCCATGAGACCCTGTATTTTGTAAAATCAAAAGTTATAATTCGTGCCTGATCAGTTGACAGAACAACGAAACTTTAAGTTGCACTTCGGATGTAGGTATATATATATATTTATTAATATATACTTCTTAGCTCTGTTTAACCACATTCAGTACTGTTTTGTTTACATTTTATGATTGTTAAATAAATATTTATTCGATTCGCTTACCTGTGTATGCACGCCAAAGTACGTCTATACGATTGTTAATATCTAATTGATTTATCCACATTATATATATATATATATATATATACTTTCTTCTTAGTTCATGTCGAAAGCTGTTAATATATTTTTCCAGCTTTTTTGTATCAAATTAAAGGTAAATCATCAGTTTTTTTCTAACCAACGCCTTTGTCCCTTGAGGACACATGCCACAGTGGATAAAGGCGTTGGTTGGTTAGAGCCAGTGACAGGACCCAAAGAGTGTGAGTTCAATACCCGGTTAAGGCAGTGGAGAACTTTCAGAGAGAAAATTAACAGGAGATTACTGGTAACTGACATTCATCAAAACATGACACGTGGAACTAGAATAGTCTACCCTAGTGAGCGAAATAAAGGGTTCAGTTCGACATTCCAACCACCTGAAGAAGGCCGGAGCGTACAACGGCCGAAACGTTGTGATAAATATGGCGACAAAGGTGAGGACAATAGTCCGAATAATGTAAATAATGTACTTTTTTGGAGTGACATTCATTATTTTTTTAGTTTAAAATTAACCACAACACAATCAAATCATATTTGTCATCAATTATATTTTTAGGTATTTTTTGTAATTAATATTTTAAAATTGTTGGCTGAAAATGGTTTTATTCGTATCTTCCTTTCCCTTCAAATTGGCCATTTTAATTCGTATAAAATTTAAGTTTCCTCATTTGATACTCGCATAACAATACATTGTTCATGAAATGTAAAAAATCATGGCGTATCCTTTGTGGCAAACATCATATTATTCTTTAAATAATGACTGCCATAAATTGCAGCATACAAGTCGAGTTTTTAAGCCTAAAAAATTTTTCCAAAATGGCGGGTATAAAATGTAAGCCTTAACCACCGATTTGTAAACAAGTGAGACGGCACGCCTAACAATTATTCTTCACCACCTAGCATAGATCCAACAGGTTGCCACAAATATATCCTACGAATGTTTGTGTTTGGTGAAGATATTTGGCATATTAACACAGAAATTAATATTAATTAATAAAATAGTATCACAAATATACTATTCTATTAACACTAAAGAACACCTCGCGTCCAACAGGAAATACACTAATTGTAAACACTGACCGAAACGCTGTTTAACCCAAGCGTCCATTCAGAGAACTAGCTGGTGTCATCTAGGCAAATTCATAATGACTGTAACATTTTATATCAGTTGATGTTGACTTTAATGTGTTTATCATTAAGCCTGACTAATATTAAACGTTTCCAAAGTTATACCGATATAATATAAGGTGTGTGTTGTAGGTTGTTTGCTATACAACGGATACAGAAAGCTATTAATGTTCGTGACTTTATGTAGTTTTGGGGACAGGTTATCGGATACTGAAGCCTAACATCATTTACCAGTAAGCCTAAGTTTTTGGACACTGCTAGCCTACCGTATGTTTAGGGATCGCCCAATACGATAGGTATAGGCGTAACTAAGAATTTTGAGTTAGAAATCTTGTACACCAGGTCAATTTGTACGCCGTGATTTACGGTAATCCCCAAAACAACCAAATAATTGGAGCCATGGTTACGATTGAGAAAGAACATTAGCAAAATCCCTGGTATCTCTTGTTGACTAGGGATTAAAATCATTGAAATATGTGAAACTTCTCATCTACACAGAAAAGTATCGACGGTGTAAAGAAAATATAAATACTGTACTTAACATCGAAATTTGTGGAAACGGAATGCATTTACAAGTCATCGTCGGTTT